CCTTTAGATTAAACCTACTCCTCCCCTCCATATCAGCTTTTCATTGTAACTCAGAGGGATAATTCTGGTTTGATCTGGTGTGATCAAAGACATGCTTGTCAAAGACCTAGTAACTTGTTATGATAGGTCCTAAAAAAGTATTTGATAAGCTTATATAAAAATACATGTTAATGCTAGTGGTGATGCACACTTTTAATCTTAGCACTTGAGACACAGAGGCAGGTGGCTCTCTGAGTTCGAGGCCACCCTAGTCTACAGAGCAAGTTCCAGAACAGCCAGAGCTACACAGAGAAACCCTGTCTCAAAAATACAAAATAAAAAAATATTATAATGAATAAATCCCTGCTGCTCAGAAAGTTCACCCATGAACCAGCAAGTAAAAATCAAGTAAGACCTTAAGCATCCCAGATCCTAAAACCAAGCATTATACTGTAGCAGGTTTTTTCTAAGTCACTCAATGGATACTTTTAACTTACTTTACTAAGACCAACATTGTGGTATTTCTTTTCCATTATTTTCTTCACTGGTTCCTCTTCCTTAAAGGTAATAAAACAGAACCCACGCCTCTTATTGGTCTTGTTGTCCATAGGGAGCTCTATGGATTCAACCTGATGGCAAAAAACAAAGACTTAGTATTCCAGTTTGTGTTCTATTGTCGCTAATCACTTACATAGTGTGGAGAAGGTGGCACAAAGAAAATGCATTTAATTCTTAAGCTATATTCTGCTGTCTCCCTATTTTTCTAATATTATAAGGATATTCTTCAATTAAAACCTCCAACTTCCCTAAGGCCTCACACTTACAAACCCAGAGTGCCACAAAAAAAGAAACAACATTCATTTTAAGAGAAACAAGCCAGAATCTGCAATTGAGAATAAAGATGTAATCTAGCAACAGTTCTGCAAACTGAAGACTTTGTGGCTAACTCCAGGGAGAAGCTACACCTCCAGCCTTAAATGGCTGCTGCCAAACAGGAAGGCAGTAGCAATCCAACTTTTGCTTGTTCCTATAACTACACAAGAAACTGTATATACCTGGATTTTTGTGTATAGTATAAGTATTAAGCATTCTAAGTCCTAGCACAAAAGCATGTTTTCTTATTTGAATCAAGTAAGAGATGCCAGCATACCATCCTTGGAGAACAAGGTCACATATACCTCAGCTTAGATTTAATTATTAATTCATGATAGGAACTGGTAGCTCACTATGTCACTATGTCTATAGTCTCATTAAAGTGTACTTACACATTTTTGAGTTGGCAAAATGCTATACTAGTCTGTCCTTATTACTTCCTTATTCTTAAGTGTCTCCTTCCATATTCAGAAAGTCAATCTTGACTTCCTCCTCATACTGCCTGCCTGTTCTCCTCCTTCCACTAAATTCTGAGGTAAGACTGCTGTCCAACTCAGACACAATGGGTCATTCCTGCCGTCTATGCATGACAGAAGCAGGAAGACAACTTAAGTCCAGAGTTCAATGAGAAAAAGAGAAGTTCAAAGACAGCCTACATTACCTAACAAGACCCTACTTTGGGGTTGTTTATTTCATCTTTGTATTTGTTACTTTATATATAGATGCTCAAAAAAATAAGAAAACTATATTACCCAATCTTCAGATCTGCTCCTATCAATATTCTTATTACCAAAACATAAGCATTTCACAACTCTGAAAAAAACAGATGGCCAAATCCACTTAATGTGAGATCCCACATTAATTTTGACAGAAATTACATCAAAACATAACATACCTCACCAAAACCACCAAAGTACTCTCTTATTTTTTCTTCAGGTGTGTCTGGAGAAAGGCCACCAACAAAAATTTTTTTGACAGGCTCTTTTGTTTTCATGGCTTTGGCCCTTTTGGGATCAATGACTTTCCCATTCAATTTATGTTCTTTCTGATCCATGACCTAAAGAAATTAAATTTTTCACTTTAATATGTAAAACTTAACTACTGTTCAGAAATAAAGTACTTAAAAATAATCCCATAATGTACCAATATTATGTCAACTGGCTTAAGATTACCTGTCAAGTCACAGGAGTACTATGACATCAACTAACAAACTAGTGCTCAAGCACTAAGAAGTGAGGTAGGGGAAGGACCGCCTCAACTGAATTGATTACTAGGCAACCATTACCGTTAACTGATAACAATGTAAACAATGGTTGCTACTTTCCCTCAGTGCAGAACCAAAATAATGACTTAAAGGTTGATCATCCTGTAGACATTTGTCTGAGGGAACTACTCTTCTGAGAATCAGAGTAAAAGGGAAAACTGTCTAACATTATTGTAAAACGGGCCCTTTTTGCCAACTTGTCATACTGTTTATAACATACTAATTAAGACTTTTAAAATCCCCCTCTATCCTCTTGGGACTGAACATAAACGATATACATATTAACCACAAACTATCATCTGTCCCAGACAAATCTGTCCTTTTAAAAAGTCACTTTCGATTTAGGAAAAAGCTGGCACATGGAAAGTATCCAGTAAATAAATAATTCCATACATCTACCTCTCCCTTTCAAAACCCATACTGACAAGAAAGGGTGTATTGAGCACCTCTGCTGTGCCAACACTTGGAAAGTAGAGGCATAAGGCTCAAGGTAACCCTCAGCCGTGTGTTCAGCTTGAGGCCAGCCTAAGCTACACAGAACCTTGTCTCAAACAACAAAAAATATACAAAATGCATCTCTTCTTCCTTATGAAAGAGAACCAACAAGTAACACAAGTTTACTGTATCAAACTCTCCAGGTTTCATTAATCAGAATATATATATATATATATATATATATAAAACACACTACCTTATCTACACTCTCCGACTCTTTAAATAGCACAAAGCCAAAACCCCTTGATCGCCCTGTGATAGGATCTAACTTCAGAGTGCAGTCTACAACTTCACCAAATTTGGAAAAGTAGTCCTTCAGATCTTTCTTTGTGGTGTCCCAGCTAAGGCCTCCTATAAACATTTTCCTGTAAAGACAAAAAGCAGTATTAAAATGTTAAGAAGAAAAATCAAACTCTATCTTACATTTTACCCACATCAGTAATATACCCTTTTCAAACTGCATTTGTTTAATACAATAAAATGTTATCCTTATTACAGACACATACCAAACCCTACTGTTTAAAGTTCCACTTAGCACTGCTCCTTCTGTTCAAGTACAATACTGAGCAAGAAGCAATGTACTGATATGTTTGTACATATACATATTTATATTTGCATGCCCAATAAAAGTATGGTTTTTACAGATAAAATCTTAGCTTCTAGATTCTATCAAATCTTCATTACAGCCCCAGCCTATCTATGCTAAGACTCCTTTTCTACTTTTAATAGTTCTCCCACTTGCAGAAGTCATATTTAAAATGGAAAACGTGCTAAGTTCTCTAAACTGTCAACTAGCCTTTTTCATGTGCAGAAATCCTTGAAGAGGACCAAAGTGATCATGTAAACAGTGAAAAAGAATTACCTGCTAAATCACATTAACTAACTTAGATAATTTACTTATAGTAGAACCTCAGTTAACAAGTAATAGATGTTTATTTTAGGCCATGAGAACAAAGTCTCAACATACAGCAAAATGCCCAAAGCAGTTTCTGGCAGCAGCGGTAATCCTCTCTAATCTGCTTATTTTATCATCAGTAGTAATAATAAAAGCAAACTTGTACCCTTTTACTTTTTAAAAAGGTCAAACTGAAAACGTAGTAGTAAATTGATAAAACTAGTCCTATATGGGCTACAATTTTCACTAGAGATAAAACCACGATAGCTCAAGATTTCCTCATCTTCATAATCGGGAGGTGTGTCACGAAAAGGGATAGAAAAGATAAGGCACCAACTTTCAGCTCTAGAAAGACATAAATAAGCAAGTCTTTTCATAGGAAGCATCTTCACTTTGTAGACTTTTAATAAGCTGCCACTACAGCCTATTCTGGAAATAAGATGCTCATTAATTTATCTTCACCTCTAACACATCTGTTTAACTGTAATGTTACTGAGTATTCTTACAAGTTTAACTTAATGCTAATAACAAAGCTAACTTTTAGTCCAAAGAAACTCTTAGGTGGCATATTGAACTTTCCATTTAAAGTTAGGTTTTCAACCTAGACCATATTATAGAGCAGGGCCCAATTTTTAAGACTTCCTCAAAGTATCTAGTCCTAAAATAAGATTTATATCCATTTAGTAATTTTATAATCTAATAAATATAACCAAAACCCATTATGTACATTTTAAATGTCTGCTTATTCCATGGAAAACTTAAGACTTCTCAACATACATTTCTTTCAATTAAATACAACTCCTAAAATACAACCCTTATTCAAATATCCATTGCTACAAACAGTGTTTTACCTACAGGCCCAGAATATTACTTTCATCAATGAAAACTCATTGCCAACATTCTTCAGTCTTTCAAGGTGAGGGAGATGCTAATTTTTTTAAAAGACGAAAAGACACTGACTACAAAGCAATTGTCTCTTAGATGTCCATTTTCAAGTTCTAGAACAGAAACAAATTCAGCTGTGATTTAGCTACCTAATAATCATCTCTGTGATACAGAAATTCCCCATAACTGAATGATTTTAACTATTCCAGTCTAACCAAACTAAAATTATAATAAGACAGTAGAGAATAATAAACCTAAAGAACAAAAAGAGTCTGTCTAGTGAACCAAACATCGAAACAAAATTTGTTTTTACTTCATAAAAGCAATGGGTAGGGGAAAATGTCCTCAGTTTATGATAATAACATGACACACAGAATAAGGCATCTACTATTTTTAAGTCATATAACTTCTTTTTAGACAGAAAATTAATTTTCTGAAATATTAGATATGGACAACAAATCATCAATGGACCTAACAAAGTGCTCTGTAAAAAACAAAAAAACTTTCCACCCTTAAGAGAGCTAAAATTGTTCACTGTAAAGCTCTTCTGTTAATAAATGCCCTTTATCCAGAATATTAAGTATTCTGGTCAACATTTTTATATATGACATTTTTTCTTCAAGTATTGCTTGCCTTCCCTAACTATTTCTTTTTAATCTGCAACTATTTTGAGTGAAATGTTTTAAGACCGTGACAGGGTCTTACACTACACAGCTCAAGCTTGCCTCAAATTGGTGGGAATTCTCCAACCTCCATCTCCAGTGGAGCTGCCACAATTAGCTTCAAGGAATGATAGCATCTTCTACAAACCACACCCTGCCTTCAATACAACAGTCACGATTTAACAGCCTATGGATCTCTTATCTCTATTAAGCTACTTTATGATGGTCGATCTCTGAAACTAGCTATGTGACTAAAGCAGACCTCATCACTTGTTTAGCCTTTAAAACACATTTTGTTTTAAGTTTTGCCAGCAATTCAATTTGCCAACAAGCCACTACTTGTTCTATAATGAATTATCTGCCTTCCATACTGTAAAGACCAAGGTAAATTTTCCAAATCTTGTTGTGAAGTGTAACAGCCTCTGAGCTTATGACAAATGTATCAGTATTTTGGTAGCATATAAGAACTGGGTTTTTCTTGTGCTTTAAAAAAATCTGGCCAGGCGGTGGTGGCGCATGCCTTTAATCCCAGCACTTGGGAGGCAGAGGCGGGCGGACTTCTGAGTTCGAGGCCAGCCTGGTCTACAGAGTGAGTTCCAGGACAGCCAGGGCTACACAGAGAGAAACCCTGTCTCGAAAAACCCAAAAAAAAAAAAAAAAAAAAATCTCAACAGATAATCAGAAAACCGGACACATTACAAAATCCACAACATTGTAATTCTCTTTACTAAATAGGAAGTATGAAATCTATCCTTTTTTTTTCAGTTTACAGCCTAGTGATTGTCCGTTAACCTTTATGAACAAATGGGTACCTACAACAGGCTCTCTAGAATACTAGCATGAACTTCCTCTCATTCTGAGATGCCTTAATATCAACACTAATTTGGATTACTTTATACAGCCATATGTTGTTTAAAGCACAATACCTACTGTCTGTCCAATAGGGAGCCTTAAACGAGAAGTTTACTTTCAAGTTGCTATTCACTCCTGCAGAGATGTAAACACTTTTTAGTAAGTCAAAAGAACTATAAAATTTCTAAGCAGCCAATTTAAAACTATCAAGAGAATTGTTCCAATAGCAACAAAATGATTCTTAATGCTGCAATCTTAATTTAAATGTGATCCTTAGTAAGTGAACCAATAATCCCAATCAAGGAACCTCTTTCTACAAGGGTCATCTGTCCCCCTACTGTATTTTTTTTTGAAGTCTCATGTAATCCTGCCTCGTCTCAAAACTTGTAGCAATCTTCCTGCCTCAGCCTTCCCAGTGAGTACTGGGATAATATATGTGCATCAGCGTGCCGGACTGTTTGATTTCTTTCTTTCCTTTCTTTTTTTGGAGACAGGGTTTTACTGTGTAGCCTTGACTGTCCTAGAACTTATTCTGTAGTCCAGGCTGGCCTCATCCTAAAGTTTAATTCCTTAATCATACTTATGAGCAAAGTATTTCAATGGCCCAAAGAAAAGACAGAAGTCTATTGAATTAGCTGTCGAACACTGTCAGTGCTTTCACACTTACCTGCATGTGTGTATGCTGTTTGGGTCATGCATGTAACTGTAGGTACACCTGGAACCGGTGTGTCAGGTGGCTGTGACATGTCCACCTTGGTTCCTCTAGTGGACATGCCTTTATAAATGTAGTTTCTGAAGTCCTCTCCCTACCCAACATACATGCCAAGACTAGGCAACACCTAACAAGCAATGATGGCTGGCGGAAACTGCCTTACTAATTCCTAATTAGCAGGGTATGGTAGTCCGTGACTATAATCCTAGTATTTAGGAAACTGAAGCAGGAGGATCAATAGCCTGAGCTGTTTGACTCTGTCTAAAAAAAAAAGAAAAAGGAAAACACCCTCATCCTCTTTCAAATACATAAAGCTAATTTTCTCCAAACTATGGAGATCACCAAGATCACACTCCAAACTCAGTAAGTATTTTATCTAAAGATGCTTTCCCTATGAGGCTTTTACTCTCACCCCCAATTGTGAAATAAAACAATGTCTAAACTCTTCCAATAACTCAACTATCTTACATAAAAAATTATATCAAGTGTTAGCTTACTACATTTTTCAGCCATACCGGCCTATACACTGGCATCTTTTCAGTAATGTTATTCAAGCACACTTAATTACAAAATTCTTCTGGTACTCTACCATTAAAGCTCAACTTTTAAAATCCTACAATTATAAACTTGAATATCTCCTTGCCATGTATTAATGAACATTTTCCTTAGAAATCAGAGTTTATTTTAAACATCATGTTACTTCTAAGAATGAGGCCATTCCTTTTTAACAAGTGTCAGTCAGTAGGGATATACATATATCATGTATATAAAAACTATCTTGGAAATAACTTGGCAAACCCTTGAAAGTAACAAGATTTGTACCTGGTGTGGTTTATGTCACTTGAAAACTACTTTTTAACTATTTAAAACTGTATTAAGTTTAGCTAATCAAAAAAAATTAATCAGCAAAATCTACATCCCAATATTATCTGCCCATTATTAAACAGGCAATTAAATAGTATTAAATTATTTAATAATTTTAAATTATTAAAATTCCTCCATAAGTTTTTTCTATATTATGCTTTTTAAAGCTAAGTGTTAAAAATCCTATTATTCAAGATTAACACATAAAAAGAGCAAATATTCCAAAGCAAGATTTTAAATTCTTTTACATTAAATCTCAAACTTCAAAAGAAACCCAAATCAACCAGCATAAAAAAAGATAACTAGATTGAAAACATCTTCCCAGTTTTTCCAGGAAGACTAGAGACTTCCCTCCTTTCAGGAGGCAGAACCTTTGGGAGCTTGAGGACAGTTGGTCTACACAGTGAATTCCAGGTCAGCAAGGGCTATATATTAAGATCCTGTGTCAAAAATATAAAGAAAAAGAAAGGCAGGCATAACATCTAGTAAATTAAACATGACAGCTTTAGATATAGCTTTACTGAGTATTTCCAATATATTAACTTTCTAAATAAACTCCAACATTATGAAGTAAACTCCCACTTACCTAAAGGTTAAAGACTGGGGTCCCCTAATCTAAGTTAAGGTTCAGGTTGACCAAGATCACTAGCTATTTACAATCATAGATGTTTTCTATTTGGTATCAATTTAGGTATCACTAATAAACAGAATGGATGTTTACCTTTCTTAAACCAGGACTCTGGAAAGTGTTCTACCACCAATCCAAATTCCTAACACCCCTATCTTTCAATGCTTTAAAATCACATTACTTTTTAATATAACAAAAACCTGGTCATTCCCACTGAAAACATTCATCAGTTGCTTTTTCAGTATATTAGCTGACACTTTCCTGTCTCTTAAGACTAGAGTAGACAGAGAGTGGATTTCCTGATCCATGTATATATGTATGTACGTAGTATCAAATGTAGACAAGTCTCAAGTGCAGACAAACATTTCAGTATAGAATCCAATACTTAAAGCTATCACTATTAGACAAATGTCAGGAATGAAGTAGTCTTCTCCACTATAAAATACTCAAGGACATAGCATGAACATAATGGTTTAACACTCCAGAAACTAAAATATGCTTACCTTTACTCCACAGGAGTAAATCACTGCCAGTAGCAACTATTAGGGCATTGGATAAATACACACAAAATATGAAAGCAGGCAGTGCAGTCAGTCTTCCTATGATGAGCATTGTTTCCAGCGAACAGATCAGAAAACCAAGTAAAAACGCGTTCTATTTATTATCTGAGACCACAGTGGTGGAAGTAACAGAAATAAATCCCAGGCTTCCTGCATCCAGTTTAGTGTCCTATTTACTGTAACACTGAAGCACAACTATAGTCAGATCAAACCAACCAGTTCTACATCACTTCATTTGCTAACATGCACATTCAAAGCATACAGCCATTAAGTGAAATGGGAAGTCAGTCTGTGTTTATGTTCTCAGACATGGCTTCTAACATCACCTAAAGGATAAAGATGATTAGTTATCTTTTCTAATGGCCTTAAGTCATAGCGAAATGGACTATGAAGTACACAGATACATGTATCTACCAATCTAACTATAGGTATGTCTTACACACCTCAGATTACCCAGGCTAAATTACTAAAACAATATACAGAAGTAAATGCAAAGAAAACTTGTTGAAGGTACAAGAAGTACCTAAGAAGTGGCACTCCATGTCTGGAATCTCAGACCAGCCTTGGCTAAAAAGTGAGATCCTGTCTAGGAAAACAAAGTACTGAAATTTTAGATGATATTCCGTCTAATCTCCGGACTGCATATTCCATCTCTCCTACAGATGACAAGTGGAACCCAGTACTCCTGGATGGGGATACGGCTCAAGAACAGAACACTGCCCACATACTTAAGAAGCCTTGGGATCTATCTCCAATATGGACAGAAAAAACACTGAATGTTCCTCTCCTAAATCTTAAGGCTTCAGTTTCCAATTTTAACAAAAGAAATGGATACGGACACTCATATACTCAAACTTGGCCTATAAATCCAATCTTACTAAGTCAAAAAAAAAAAAAGGCCAGTAAATCTGGCACTAGACTACTCTAAAAGTACTTTTTTTTCCCCAAAGCAATGTTCAAACTGTTCCTGAAACATTGGGGTTTCTATTATACTCTCCAATATTTTAAGCAAAGACATGTGTGAGCCCCTTCTCAAATGGTAGGGAACAATTTCTCCAAGATTGCCACTTGAGCTTGCACACTAACAGGGCCAGCTGGAATACTAGCCTGACAAGTGCCCCACTGACAACTCAATGAAACTGCCATGCTTCCTACTCAACCACACTCTGGAGAGTTGGGGGTTAGGGTGGGGAATGAGTCATTGTAACTAATCTGGTAAAACTGTCTATAAATCAGTATATTCTAGGTTTCCAATGTTCTGTAAGTTCAAACACTGTCCCCCATACCTTACATCATGGTATGCACATTTCACCAGACACTACCTACCCGCAAAGAACCGAAACACTAAAGACTACACACTGAAAGCAAAATGAGAAATTCCAATGCCACTAATTATATCTAAGAAATAGGGATCTTAAAAGTTGTAGATAGATAGTAAAGGGGCCAAGATGGCGAGAGTTCAATCCCCAGGACCCACATTACAGAATGAGAACAGACTCACTAGCCTCTTCTGACCTCCACATAAGCACTGATACACAGATGAACCCAACATCAAAACACAATTTTAAAGGTAACCCAGGAAGCCATTTTACTATGGTAATGAATCAGTTACCAAACCCATTAATCTTGAAAGAAGGCTGCTTTTCTAAAAATAACTGTTCATGTTTATATATGAATAAACAATAATACATAATAAAAAATGTCAAATAAAAAATTAATCTTTAAAAAGTATTTTAGCAGGAAAACTAAAAAGAGTAGCATTTACCTACAGTCCCCAACACTTGAGGTGGAGACAGGAATATTAGGACAAGGCCAGCCTAGAGATATAGGAGACCTTTTCTCAGAAATAGTACTTCAAGATGAAACTTCATTTCTACAGGAGCTACACACCAGTGTTTTTAAGAAATTAACTCCACACGACATTTACTCTACTGACTGGTCTCATCTCCACTCCAGAGACTTTATTATTAAACTGGTGTGAAAAACAAACAATGGGTGTATAGACAGCAAAAAGGTACGCTTAAAGATCTTCAGTGTTTTGCTCAGAAAGTCTAACATCTACAACAAAACGGAGTTGGTAAATGAACATTTATCACATCAAATTAGAGAAAGAGAGGAGGTGGGACAACAGGAGATCCGGCTGCATAGTGGCCACACACCTGTAGTCCAAGAGACGTTTTAGGCTGAGGAGAGAGCCTCCTAAGCCTGGGCAATATAGTGAGTGAGACTGTCTCCAAAACAAGTGCTGGAAAGTAAGGGTGCCTTCCAAGTACAATACTGCTTGAGCAAAACCTACACCTCAGGAAGTCTGCCAGAGGAGAACTGGCCATCATCTATCTGGACTGTTCCATAACTTTCTCCAAAAACTGATCCCAGAAAGATCTACAAGTATTTGCTACTGAACAAAGGAGCAAAGATAACTTTTTTTAACAGTAAAAACAAATTCAACTTACTACAAACAACTAAGGTTCAAATAGAAGTCAAATAAGGTTTAATTTGCCATTATTAGTCAACTTCTATGCCCAGCAGGCACCAAAACAGAATATTCATCTCATCATTATGTCACTCAGACCCTCGCTTGTTTTTTCTTGTGTCTGTTAAACTACTTTACCTCCAACTAAAACTGGACAAATATCAGATGGGAAGTTTTAAAAAACCCACATAAAATTTAAATGTTATCCAAAATAATTAAATAGAATATGGTTTGTATAGACATAAGACAATGAACTGGCTTTCTAATCTCCAATGGTAGAGACACAGTCCCAGGAAAATTTAAGTATGATCCTAAGGACAGAGACTGACATTTCAGGAGGGAGAAGTGGGATAAAAAGAATACTCAACCTACCAGCCTCCAAAGGGAAGTCATGCAAATGTGAACACAAGTCAACCAACTGTAATTAACATTCCAGCCAAATCACACTGAAAATAAAAAAGCTGATAAGAGCTGTAGTGGAAAGCCACATTTAGCCCACCTATATTATACACACAATGCTTAAAGTATTTATACTGTCGAAGAAATACAGGACTTTGCATAAAGCATAGTAATACTTAAAGAACTGTCTACTTGACAGAATACTTCAGTATAACATGCAAGACATTTTAACACGCAATCTTTATCAAGTAACCTTTATATTTAGCATTAAGCTTAGAATTTAAACAAAAATATTTCAACCTAATAAAAACTAAATAAAATACAGTAACTTTTGCTTGCCCATATTTAAAAGAAAAATTACTAATTACATTTCGTTTAGGTTGGCCAAATTGTCAACTCATCATGCATTACCACAAACCATATATCACGCAATGGCATTTTTGCCCACAGATTATTTAGGGTAGCTACAAAGGCCTTACATCCCAGGCGCAAGACTTATCCTACAGTATTAATGTCTAAATCTCCTGGGACTCAATGGGCAACTAAATTACAGAGCCTCTGCATGTTATGACTACTGAAATCTTTATAAGACAGAAATAAAATTTAAAAGTTTTACCATTCTTCCCGCTGTGCCGTCGCTGCTTCAGTGTGTCGTGGGGAGGAGTTTGAATGGCTAGGGAATTAACAACCGGTACAGCAACCAATCAAAATTCTAGTTTTAGTTTTTGACATTGTTAGGGTTAAAAACTAATTCATTTATATTTCAGTTCAACAAAAAACAACTACAAAGACAGCTGGCTACTTTCTAACGTCAAAGCTCAAGGGTAATAGAAAGCCTGCCCCAGTTACACAGTTAACCATTTTGGTGCCTCTGTCCAAAGAACAGACTTCAGAAAGCAAAAACCAAAAGGTTAAAAAACTTAATTTCTTCAAATATTTAACATGTATTCCCTTCTCAT